GGCTTGTTGGTCAGTCAGACTAGCCAAAACCAAACCAAAACAAAAAGAGCAAACAAACAAACAAACAAACAAGCAAACGTGATGAACTCCAGGACCAGTGAGAGATGCATACCTCAAAGGAATTAGATAGTGACCGAGTAGGATATTTGATATCTTCTTCTATTGTCCACATGTGTGCATGTATACGCGCGCGCGCACGTGTGCACACACACACACACACACACACGCAAATCTGATTCTTTAATTTTCTGTTTAAATTCTCTCTAGAGTTTTCCATTATCCTTGAAATAAAAGGCAAACTTCAGGCCCTATACATTCAGATTGTCTGAAACATAATCTCATCAGTGTTCTCAAGGCTCATGGGCTTTGGCCACTCTGGTCCCTGTAATGACATTCTGGTCCCTGTAATGACATTTTTGAGAATTCTGGAATTTTTGTTTCTTTAAAAATCATGGAAATATACTAAGAATATATTTTCATTTTAATCCCAGGTATGTGGCTATGGTGATGCTTCAGACTGTCCACAGCAGCTGACTATGATTTCCTCATGCTCTAGCAGAGGTGTAGTTATGCCAGCTGCAGATAGCTTCCTCAATTGTGTGACATCTTGAATTCTGAAAACTTTTCAGAGGGTATATAAATGTTAGAGCCCTGACAGGTGTGGTTGGTGGTTGGTGGTTGTTTAGGGTGGTTGGTTGCAGTTTGGTAGCCTTGGACAAAGAAGAAACAAAAGGAAAAAATTAGATTTAGGGATTTTCATAATTCCTCTTTCCCTCTGTCTTGTCTCCTTCCTATCTAGTGTTAGGGGGTGAAACCCCAGGTTGGGGTGGGGGTAAAGGGAAGGAAAAAGAAGAATCCACAAAGTAGCACAGACCAGCTACAGGCTTCCTGTGTGTCAGACAGGTCAGTCATTCCCACTGCAAGGCTATTGCACTTCTGGGTTTCTTTGTGTCCTCGTTTTGCTTTCCCAGACTCTGTCCAGGTTAAAGGCAAACTAACTGCACAGGGGTTTATAACCTTTGCTTTGCCTGCTGACATGGATTTATTTATGCCTCAGCTCTTACACAGTTGAAGCCTAAAACAGTTTGATACTTTCAGATTATAAAGTGGAGATCAAAGTTCAGAGATAGGATGGTACTTAATCAAAGTCACTTAGATTTGGGAGTGGGGGTACAGGACTGTTTAAGAATAAACCCAGAGTTGGTTGTGTGCTGTGAAGTAAAAGCGGAAGACATTTTTATCTTAACACTGCTTGGTCCCACTCTGTTTAAAATACATGGTTTTAACAATAGAAAAGTAGTCTCTCTCCCTCCCCCTCTCCCCACGCCCCCTCTTTCATGCATACTTTGGCTTTGCAGAATCAAGGTTGAGTTGTATATAGAAAGGCATAAATAGTCCATTTTTTCTTCCATTTGTGTCATCTTATTTTTCTCTATAACAAAATGTTGTTTTTGAAACTGGAAGACAATGCTTTGTAATTTATGGGCTCCTCTCTGGAAATTATAGTGAGATCCTAATTTTCAAAAGCAAATTGGTTTTATCTAATTAAATTTGAAATTTGCACCATAAACACATTTTGTAATGTATGTCTCTAAAAGCAAGGTCCCCTATTTGCTCTCAGTGGCAAGGCTGGCTTGAGCTCACAGTGGAAGGAACACTACCTCTCTTTGCTCAAGAGGGCATAGTCTTTGCACAGTTGCAATATATTTTCTAAAAAGCAGTATTTTCTAGAAAAGAGCTTCTCAGTTTTTAATGCTCATATGACTCTACCAAGGGTCTAGTTAAACTGGAGATTCTGACTCTCCAGTTTATTGATGGGGCCTAACATGTTGCATCTCTGAAGTCCCCAGGTGATACAAGCACATGGACTCTTCTGTGTTATATCAGAGGCTGCACATGAATTCAGGAGACAGTGATATGCATGGCATCCTGGCTGTATGACCCACTGACACATCACATTGCTATTCCTCAACTTCTTCATTTTTATGCAAGGTAAACAACTTATTATTATTATTATTATTATTATTATTATTATTATTATATGATTTTTTCCAGTTGAGAAGCCTGCAGTCCTAAGAGACTATCTGATGTGCCACAGCCCTGCAAACCAGGTAATGAGTTAACCTGGATTCTGATCCAGGTACCTGACCTGTAATTCAACATTCTTACAATACTTGGCCTCCATTATCTTGTGACATGTTCCATCACAGTCATATGCTTACATACAGAATACAATGGACTAAACACATAGACTCCTAGATTCCTTCACAGAACCCCCGAAAGGGTTTGCTGTGTTCCCAAAAGGTTCATGGTAATATTAGTCAACTTCAATCTTATGGCCCTGGTTCTCTATAATCATAACCTGAGGAGAAGTCAAGAAATTACTTGGAAATATCTCCACAGAGCCATTTCCAAGAGTCTGTCATGGAAATGGACTCGGGTCTTTGAGACAACACAAGCTGGCTGGTTCACAACTGAGGCAGATAAGCTGTCCCATCTTGTTCTCATGTTTGTTTCTAGTGGCTCCTCACACCGATGCCACAAGTTCAGGAGTCATTACTTAACATGTCCAATTCACAAGTGTTTCTACTGCCTTCTCTGACCATCTAGGTCTTTATTCTAACCACAAAACAGCAAAGCATCGCTTTGCTAGTCCAGCACAATATGTAACTCTGTGATACAGACATTGATGTTACCTTTGGGATAGAAGTCTATGTAGAGATGCAGGTAAAACACAGGTAAAACACAGTGGAACCTAGTGGTTTCCAAAATAAGTTAAGTGCAAGTACAGGGCCATTTCATGTCCAAGCCACCATCGTTTCAAATGGGAAAAATAAGGCAGTTGTCATGAGCTCTTCATAAAGCTATATCCATTCAATTTCAGAGTCTTTTATTCTGAAATGATATCTTTTGAATTACATCTTTTTAAATTAAATGTTAATAAGAGATGGTAAAATAGCTTATGTTGGCTCCTAAACTCTTTTCAATGTTCCTGGTCCATGAATTCTAAACCTATATACTTCTAGAATAGAAAAATTTCATATGATAATGCTACCACTCTCTAAGTCATGGATCTTTTCCCTTGCTGCATGAAAAATGGGCTGTTATGCATAATAAATTTCTCTTTGTGTCTCTTTCTGTCAATCACTGTCTGTCTGTCTGTCTGTCTGTCTGTCTGTCTCTTCCTCTGTTTCTCTCTCCCTCTCCTTCCATCCCTCTTTCTTTCTCTCTTCTCTTTGATTGTAGTCTCTACAGTGAAAAGCACACAACTGTGAATCGATGCGATTCTTGTTTCGTTTTCTTCCCAGATGATGTTTTGACCATATTCTTAGCCAAGTGTACCAAGATGAATGCTTCTCCTCTTACAACAAACACAGGAGGAAAGATTTTTCTCTGTGGCTCAAGAAGGTTCATAGATATTAGGGTGCTAGTATTCTTCCATCCAAGTTCTAACCTGGAGGACAGCATCAAGCTCCATGTACTTTCTATATTACAGATGTTAGATAGATCTTTGGAGGCCAGGTGTCCAGTGAGACACGGTATTTTCTATTGCACATGGTGATAATCTGCTTCAGAGACACTTGAGGACCACCCATGTTTTTAGAAAGCGCATGAGCTCGTTACACCAATCATGATCCTTCACAATTGCATACTTAGTAATGCCCCCAGCTTCCTCCCTGAGCCCACTCTCTGTTAGTGGGTGTTTCTGCATGGATGTTTAGTGATAGAAGCTTTGCTGAGTGGTGGGGAGGAGTATTAACTACCAGTTGGCTAATGATATAATATGCTTTGGGCACAGAGCAAGATACAACTCAGGAATTTTTTACCCTTGAAATGGAGAAAAACCCAAGGTCTGATATATATGGGGTGATTCACCGTGAGCATTGTGGTTTGCCATATTATACTTTAATAGCCAGGGCTCATGTTTCAGCCCAAGAATCCCTGGGCTTTTTGTCTCTTCAGATGTGCTATGGTTTGAAGCCATGATTGACACGACACCTTCATTGTTCAGATAAGACATCAGGTCTAAAGAGAGGAGGGGCCTGCCAAGGGGACTCTGAGAATACAGACATGCTTATCAGACACGAGGCCATGGCTTTTTAAACTTCATCATCTGTGCCTCTCATCTGTGTCACTCTGTTTTTCTACTCTGTCCAGTATTAGAAGCCCATAGTGTCTTAGAACACAGCAATGAAAGGGAAGTCGGTCTCATCCCCATGCTGGTCCGAGATATTAGCCTGTTTGGAGATAGTTTTGCTTTTGTCCTGCAGTGGCCTTCTATACAGCTTACTTTACCATCGTCAGGTGTTTTGTTTGGTGGGTGTGCTCCTCCCAAATATGATCTGTTCCATGTCTAATATGATAAAGCTTTGCTGATGGGTGGGAAATATAATGAACTACCATGGAGATAATAATATGACAGGATTTGGGTACGGAGGAAGTTAAAATTTAGGAATCCTTTACCCTTGAAACAGAGTAATGATAGGTTTTTCTCCATATCCCAAGGTCTGATACACACGTGTACACATGCACAAACATACACACATACACATACAAACACACACATGGCAGTTCATAATCCCCACCCATTGGCAAAGCTTTACCATATTAGATATGGGATAGAACATGTTCAGGAGGAAAACAACCACCAAGCAAACACCTGAAGAATATATAATATATATATATAATGTATTACCATATATATGGTACATTGTTGTTTCCCATATGAACTTTAGCTTCTGCATTCCAGGTGTGGGTCTTCTCTTGTACATTAGGACAATCTGATGCCTTGAACTATTGATCCATTTGCCAAAGGGATCAGTCCTAACCATGATCATGTCAATGCCTGGTATGGCCACATGAATTTGTCTTTGGAATGATCAGAATATGCCAACTCTGTACCCTACTTGTGTCTCATTCTCCTTTATGCCCTCGAAGGAATAGGTGCTCACTCACTGAATGAAGATGAGCCAACTATAGCAGCCCAGGCGCCTCCTTACCTCATAGAGTGTGATGACCCCATTGGTCTCATTGGGAGGTTTCCACTGGATGTAGATCTTCTCCTCAAAGGGCCCTCCTTGGATGGACTCCAGAGGAACAGCTCCTGGAACTACAGAAAGGAAATGTTGTGAGCCTAATGTTACCTCCTACATCATTTCTCCAGGTCCACTGACCAAGACAGGGTCTATGAGAGTTTCTATGAAGCACTAGGTATTAAATTATTTTAGGACTGATGGCTGATACTATCTCTGATCCAACTTCTTGACTCTGCCATTGTAGAACAAAATAGAAATGGCCATTGAGAATCTGTAAATGAATAAATATGAATGTATTTTGATAAACTTTTACTTCCAAAGACAGACAGTAAGATGGATTTGCCTCACAGAGTGACAACTTTTCATTCACCTATTGAGCAAAGCCACTGATGACATGAACCAAATCAGGCCCAGAGGATGTACATAGGTACCAGCTAGCTTTACGAGTGTGATTTGATGCATGCAAAATGGATTTGACATTAATTTAATAACACATTGACTTGGTCCTGCCAAATTTTCTCCAACTTTAGAAAATGCATCCTCAGTTTCTTAATTTCTGGATCCATCTTTAACTATGTACCCAATTAGGAGAACCTCACCTTGCTCCAAGAAGTTGGCTAATTCATAATGCTGCTTAGTCTCTCACTCCCTTTTTGGGAGATGCTTAATATCCATGTGTTGGTTGGATAAAGAGGTCGATGCACGACTTATGCCAATATTTGGCTCTAATGAGCACACTTTTCTAGGGTCTGCTTCAGTAATAGGCTGGTCTTTCCATCAGCATCTTCTGGCTAGATCCAGCATCCTCACACAACAGTCTAGAAGATGCTGAGCCAGAAAGGAAATGATTCTCCAAACTTCCACTTATAAGCCCTTAGAGAATGAAGAATTCATGTAAATCACTACCAGATCTATTTATACTTCAGCATTATAAAAGTAAGTACTCTTACTAAATGCTTATTCAGCATTAAAAAGTCAAGTACTCTTCCTAAGTGCTTACTCAGCATTCCTAAGCGCTTACTCAGCATTATAAAAGCAGGTACCAAGTACTTACTCTTTGATTGGAATATTACATACTATTTCACTTAAGTTACAAAACAGCTCTGCCTAGTACGTATTATCCCCTTCATGCTGATAAAGGAAATGAAGCTATGAGAGTAAGCTAACTTGGTCAAGGTCACAGCACTCAAGTTGTGAAGAGGGAATGGAACACCTGTCTCCCAACTTCAAAGCATACACTCTTAATCATCTTGCTACGCCTCTCTCCAAATAGAGCCTCAAGCATATGCTGCAATCAGTTCCCCATTGTCAAATTAAAATGCATTTAGCTTTTCTCATTTTGGACACGATGCATGTAATTTGTTAATATTAAGATTATACAAAAAGATCTTCAGGTCTGTACCAGGTCATCTGAATACGTGTTATAGCTTTCAGTTTAATTTTTTTAAATGGGACTCCTGAGTGTGTGAACTTGTGGGTCACTCTTCTTGTGCCTTCTTCTTGGGCTCTCTTCCTTCTGTTGGTTTGACTTTTCCAAATTTAATATTTTATGTTAATATATTTTATTTTGTTATGTTTTACTGTTATCTCTTATAAGCTTATTCTAATGAAAGTCAAAGTGACTGGATCTGGAAGGAAGGGAAGGTGGGGAGGAGCTGGGAGGCGTAGAGAAAGGGAAACTAGCCAGGATACAATATATGAGGGAAAAGATATGTTTTCAATAAAAGATGGAAAAGGAAAAAACACTGAAAAAAAAACAAAGCCAAAAATTTTAGAAGAGAATGAACAAAATCACTGACATTCTAATCCAAACATAGCTTTCCAGTATTGCATGAATATATATGTACAAACACACATTTTTAATATAAAATTTAATTTACATTTTTTTCAAAATTAATTCATACTGTTTATGTTTGTATTTTTACTTTTTTTATAACTAGACAAATCATAGACATGAAAAATTCCTAAAATTGTGCAGGTATGGTGGCATACGCCTTTTAAATCCCAGTACTCCATAGGCAGATGCAGGCAGATCTCTGTGAGTTTGTCACCAGCCTGGTCTACAGATTGAGTTCCAGACAGTCAGGGCTGTTACACAGAGAATCCCTGTCTCAAAAACAAACAAAACAAAGCTGAAACACGAAAACTTTCTAAAATTCTTAGGTATTTTGTGAGAACACTTAATGGCATCTTGGAACCATTATGGTTATAGCAACTGTCTCTTTATTGAGTGTTAAAGCTGGTTGGAATGTTTTATGACTATGGATAGCACTGGGTTAAACATGCTTTTTTTTTCAGTTACCTAGCAAAGAACAGGTTACCTTACAAGTTGTTCATATGTACTTTGTTGTGGAACCTCCTTCCCCCATTTCCCTGTCCCTGCCTGTGCTTTTATGCTTCCTGTTGCCCTATTCCACTTCCGTATCATGTGTGTTTGCCCCGAGTCCCTTAGTGAAAACCTGTATTTCCCCTCTTGGAGGCCACTTTCAAGTAGCAAGACTCCTACCAAAGTTCACTCCCACAAAAAATGCACACCTAAAAATTAGAAGCTGAGAGCTATACACGAGAGAAAAAATGTAAAGGGATTCTAGTCAGCCCAAGCACAGCATCTGGCAGGCCCTGCCCTTCTCATCCTCCTTCTGCCTTGATTAAAACCATTAGATTACAATCCTAAATCTCACCACCAAGGTCTATTTCCTTATTTGGCCATTAAATGTCCTCTGTGCAAGAACGTGGTCTTGAGGTTCCTGAGTTAACACAGTTCCTTTACAACATGTACTATTTGAAACTCTGAGCCTGGATCACCTCACTTAATATAATATTTTCCAGTTTCATCCATGGTCTTGCAAACTTCACAATCTCATCTTTCTCGATGAGCACTCTTATAAAGAATCTGCCTGCAACTTTGCTCATGTCCTCAAGACAAATTTGTGACAATTAATTTAGTAGGCCTAAGTAAATCAACTAGCTTATTTTTAGGGATTTTGACATATATTACCAGATTGCCTCCCTGAAAGTTTGTATAAGTCTGGGTCCCCAACAGAAGAACATGCCTAGGCCCAATTTCTGCCCACACTGACTATTTAAAAAATTAAGTATATGTGTCATTTTTAGAACGCTGGAAAGCACAGACTTTTTCTTTCCACTTTAATTAGTCATTTGCATTGATTCTTTTGAGAACATGCTCTCCACACCCTGGGCTCATCTTTCTGGATGCTTCTTCACTTTTGACCCTCTTTGTCTTAGCGAATTGTTACTATGATCCCCACGTAAAAGACGTGAAAGACACACTTAGCTTTTGCATACTTTACAAATACTTTTGTTTTTGTTTTTTCCAGATTTCCATTTGTGTTTTAAAGCCTTGGGCTATGTAGAAGCTTTTAAAAAGAGACAAAATCCTCACTGATTCTTTCTAACTAACCCCTCCTCTCTGCAAATATATCTTACTGTGATCAGAGGGCTGCTATTGACATTAGAAGTATACAAATAATGAAGAGAAATATGGTCAAATCCTTTCAAATCTTGTGATCCAGGGAGCAGACGGGTATTAAAATCACTCAGATAATTTCATTCAAGTTATTATCAGCACTCTCAGGTAAGGGCATGTGGTACTAGGAGAACAGTAGACAGAGACATGCTAGGCTAGAAAGCCAGGATATTAAGTGGCAAGTAAGTTAGAGTTGACAGATATATAAAAGTATCTAGGGTAAGTGCAGGAAATAGAGGGAGTGCCATGGATAGCTTTCTGAGGTCAAGGGTGGAAGGAGAAAAATAAGTTAGGAAGTCTGTAGTCATTTTGGAGACAAAGTATGTTAGCTTGCATCAGGGCAAGGGGTGTAGAAGAGAAATGAACTGTGGGAGATTTCTGTCAGGCGAAACCAGCATGAGTTGATGGTGACAGATGAGGATAACGATGATAGGATGTGTCAGGAAGAACCAGAACTGCTAAATGGAGTTCACGAATTCGACCGTTATTCATACAGAGACGGGTCTCAAAGGATGACTAGTTTTGGAGGCCCAAGAATCAGACTGTTATTCATATAGAGAAGGGTCTTAAAGATGACTAGTTTTAGAGAGGGATCTGGTGAGTAGAGCTTCTCTCTGAGGTATATCTAGAACATCTAGTCAGAGTGGATAAATAGCCTTTGGAAAGACAGGGCTGAGGTCCTTGTTTGGCTATTGAAATCATGTTCTGGAAATAAGTAGAACAGCAAAAGTATAGACCAAAAGCGAGAGTCCGGGGAAGTGGGGAGGGGGGGAGCTCAGATTCAGCTAAGAGAAACTGGTCTCAAGAATGAGGAGGAAAACTATGACACTAGGATCCAGTATTGAGAGGAGAAAGAGGGAACCAGGACATTGAGATTGAGTTGTCACTGTAGCAGCTATAGAAGGAGATGAGGTCAGGAAGGGATTGGTTAGCAGTGATAGGTCTGGCTGAATGGTCAACTCAGAAGTGACCTTGAAGTTACTATTGAACCTATTGTCTCAACACTTGTGGCCAGAGTAAGCATACTTTAGGGAGATTAGTTATATAACATTACCTGGAAAGGGCTGAAAAGGAGATGAACATGAGGTGGTATGAGCAAAGACCTTTCATTATGATGGGTAAGAAGATGTAAAAGACAGTAGAGGTGAGAAGTGAAGCAAAGACAAAGGCCATTTCCAAAGATGGGGGTTGGGGGTATCCCATGGCTAGAGTTGCTAAAAATAATCCAAAAGGGACCACATGCTGGAAGGGTAAGAAAGAGAAAGGGGGCTGACTTGGGAGTCCCCAGAAAAGGTTAGAGCAGGAATGGATGGGGAGAAGTCCCCTTCTCACTGTGAGGGATGGAACGGGGACAAACAGATGAAACTGATTAGGTAGGAGCTTCGATATCCTAATGGCTTATTTTTTCTTGAAGAGTTGGGGATAATTTGTCTTCCAGCAGTACAAGAAACTAGGGATAGTGGAGATGGTTTAATCACTGAGGAGTGAAATAGAGAGAAAGGGGTTTTCTGCTGATTCATCTGAAAGCTTGTCTGAAGAATTGGGAAGGTCTGTCTAGTGGAAGAGGGTCTCCCTGGTGGGTAACAG